ATAAGAGATCATCGGATAATGCTTTTTCTGTCACGGGAGATAAAGAAAAGAATACATAAAAAATATAAATCCGCAAGTGAATTATCTGGAATGTGTTGCCTGCAATATATAGCTTTCTTAAAAATTTAAAAAGCGGGCTTTTCTCCAACGTCCGCGCTCGGATTTATGCGGTCTGTCAGTAAAAACTGGAAAAATGTCTAAAGTGGTTAATCTAGAATTAGAAAACAAACGAGAGCGTATGAGAATTTGAAACATCTAAAGTTAGTTGAGAAACAACATTCCGTTTATTATGATAACATTAAACTGGCCAAGCAAAATGAAATTTCACACATTTTTTTTTTGACTATGCACAGCAAATTTTTTTACTGAAATGCCATATCAATTGGGACCGAGCTATTTTCAATCATCGTTTAAAGTTGGAATTTTTAGTATTGCAAATGAATCGGCCTCTGTTCAGCACAATTATGTGATACCTGAAAACATGTTGTAAAGAATGCAAACAGCAATATGCGGAAAGAATGCAAATAGCATTTTGAGTATGATTCATCATAACCCAGCTTAATATGAAAACTCTACCAAAAATCACTGTTTTTGAATGCTGACAACTGCGTAGGGGAAAATAAAAACAATATTGTAATGCATTATTGGTCGTGGAGAGTAGCTGTTGGGTTAAACTAAAACATAACTATCCTATTTCTTCCTGTCATGAACACAATGTTCTCTCCAGATGCTGGATTTGGGATCCTGAATTCCATGTTTCAGCAAAGTGAAGTAGTTTTGGTCAAATAGTTTGTCATATTCATAGAAGCTAATACATCAATTTCAAAACTGAATAAATTGATCATTGTTGGTGACAAGAAAGGTACAAATTTTGTGTCAGCATGATTGGCATTTACTGATTTCAATACGGTTCCTAAGCTCAAGCAATTTTTCACATTTTAATTTAATAAACCTGGAGTGATTACTTGCAAGATCGATTGGGACACTGCAGATGTTGAGTTCCAAATATGGCAACACCAACTTATCTCAAAAATAACCATACCACAAATACTAAAATATTTTGAAATATTACCTAAAACCTCTTTCACCAGAAAGACAGTACAAGTACAATACATGTGGTACATGTAGGTGGTACATGTACGACAGCATCCAAACTTTTATTCCAGAACGCGGGAAAGATTTTATTTTGTACAAGCCTCAAGTTGACAGGATAACATTTGCTCAGATTTTTTATTTTTTTAATCTACGGTTTTTATGAGAATTTATTTAAATTTCTTTACTTTTTATTATGCACTGGTGCTAATAAGGGGCCGTCCATAAACGACGTCACGCAATTTATTGCAATTTTTGACCCCCTTCTTCCCTCTTGTCACAAGTTGTCACAAATGTTTAGACTCCCCCTTGAATATTACGTCACAAAGCGATGACCCTTCCTTCCTCTTGGACAAATATTCATAAATATTTAACTGCTGTTTTATATTGACTTTTTTCTTTTTCTTTTCTTTCAAGTCAGTATCTTGTTCAAATGAAAAGCATTTCACGTTTTGTTGCTTGCACAAACCATCTAAATCAGAACTTAGAATTTTATTTTTTGTCTGAAATTGCAGTTGGGCCGGGGCAATTCTATATTTCTGAGCTTGCAATACTTGGTTCAGGTTTAAATTCATCACTAAAAATATCAGAATCTTTTTTATCAAGCAGCAAATTTGAAGTCGGGAGATTTTTGTTATGCACATTTATAGTAGAAGGTTTATTAGTAGATAACGTTTGTTCAGCCCGAACAATTAGGAGTGTTCCTTTTTTTACTTGTGGAAAGATCATTTAGTTCTTACAACCAATGATCCGCTTTGATTTTAAATTTTATTTCATTTAACTTCTGAATCGAATCTACTTGAAAAGCCTTTGTGCTCTTTGTAGGATATGCTAAAACGTATTGGTCAAAAATACCTTCATTATATAAAAAGAACTTATCGACGCTTACAAATCAGATGCGCCTAAAAATTAATTGAGAAACAAATTTTAAAATGTGGTTGAGAAATATTAAATAGGTACGTTTAAACAGCTACTTTTAAATACTTTTTTATATTCAACTTTTTATGTTATTTTGTTTTATGGTAAAATGTGAACTATTTTATACGTAAATTTTTGTCACAACTTAACGCGTCAGTGCATTAAGTCTAATAAAAGATCTCATAGCATTCTTTAGAACTATAGTTTTTAAAGTAAAAATTTTTTTTATCATATAGACATCTTTTGTGACGTCACACTTCTTTGAGCCCCTCCCTCCCCCTTGTCACAGATCGTCACAAAAGTTTGGACCCGCTCCCTCCCCTAGGTGCGTGACATCGTTTATGGACAACCCCCAACTTTATTTCTAAGAATTAGTTCCATTTCCTGTGAGGTGCGTCATATCAGAGCAGCCGTGGTGCAGTGGTAGAGCACTTGCCTCAGAAACAAAGGATCCATGGTTCAAAACCCACCTCTGGGCAAGTTTAGAGACATCGGTTAGAAAGGTGGCGTAAACTTCCGATTAAATGCTCATCCACGGTGCTCTGTGATAAGTCTGTAAGGACTTCTTGGGGCACCTAAATATAAAAAAAAAAAAAAAATCTTAATTCATACAAAACCTAAAAAACAGTGGTTACAGTTGTTTAAATTGAAAACTGAAAAAATTCCTTCAGGCTCATCATCGTTTGATTCTTATTTAAAAATATATGATAAGGTCATGGACGAATCTAAACTAGATATTAATGAGTTACGATATGCTCTAGATAATCTTAAAACAACACAAGTGTAGGTTTTGATAATATTAACATAAATGTTGTTAAATCAGTTTTTCATATTATAGAAACTCCTTTATAACACATTTTTAATCTTTCTCTTCAATCTGGAACATTTCCAGAAAAATTAAAAATTGCACGGGTCTTGCCCATTTTTAAGTCTGGCGATGACACAAATTCTTCAAATTATAGACCAATATCAGTTTTACCATGTTTTTCTAAGTTACTCGAGCGTATAATGTATAATAGGCTAAACAGCTACTTAACAGTAAATAACATGTTGTTCAACAAGCAATTTGGCTTTAAAAAAAATCATTCAACTGATCACGCTTTGACCGAGTTAGTAACTCATGTAACCAATGCCTTTAATGATGACCATTTTACATTAGGAGTATTTATTGATCTGTCTAAAGCCTTTGACACAGTCAGCCATGTCATTCTTTCAAAAAAACTTGAACATTATGGAATAAAAAACAATAATTTACTATGGTTTAAAGATTACTTATCAAACAGACAGCAATACATTCAATATGAAAATGTTAAAACGACAAAAAGTATAATAAAATGTGGAGTTCCTCAAGGCTCAATCTTAGGACCGTTACTGTTTTCTCTTTATATAAATGATCTATCTCTTACCTCGAACATCCTAAACTTTATTTTGTTTGCTGATGACTCCAATCTGTTTTATTCTCATAGGGATATTAAAACCCTCTTTAAAGTAGTTAATGAAGAAGTAAACAAAGTAAATGAATGGTTTATTTGTAATAAACTTTCACTTAACGCTAACAAAACTAAATTTATTCTATTTCACAAAGCAACCAAAACAGGAAACCTTCCTTTAAAATTACCCAATCTTAAAATCAATAATATAAATATCACTAGGCAAACAACTGTAAACTTTTTAGGTATTATTTTAGACGAAAATTTAACATGGAGGAAACATATAAACATTCTTGAAAGAAAACTTTCAATAAACATTGCAATGATGTATAAAGCAAAACCATTTTTGGATATAAGATCTCTAAAAAGTTTATATTTTTCCTTCATACATACCTATCTAACTTACGGCAATATCGTATGGGCAAGCAACAGCTACGCTAAGTTAAAGAAAATTTATATTAAACAAAAACATACATGTAGAATTGTATTTGGAGTAAAAAGAACTGTGCCTTGTGAGTTACTTTTACGTAAACTCAATGCATTAAATGTGTTTAAAATTAACATATTCCTCGTCATTTAGTTCATGTATTAAATAAAACACGGGCTGTCTCCAGCGATATTCTATCCTTATTTTAGAGAAGTAAGCCATAAATACCCCACCAAGTTCTCAGAAAATAACTTTGTAACTCAAAAGTATAATCTAAAGTTATGTTCTTATTCTATTCAGTACAGGGGTCCAATTTTGTGGAAAAACTTTCAGCATATTGTTAATATTAAAGAAAAAACACTTCCGCAATTCAAATCTAAATTATGACGTTATTTAGTACTTACTGATTTTAATATAGCAGATCTTCTATGTCACTTTTAAAGCTTTAAAATTTATTAAACTAAATTAGCACCATAAATTTAAAAATCAAGACCATTTAACAGTACTAAGAATTTCAATGTCTTTATCATACTTTCATTGAATATATATATTCTCTTAAAGTTACCTACAATTTTCTTGATATATTTTATAATATTGGAACAGAATTTTTATTTGAATTTTGAATTATTTTGAAAGAAAATAATATATACAAATATATATGTTGAATCACATCCAATTTATAACCAAAAACAGAAAATTTTTGTCATTTTTATTACTATATTTTAATCATTTCTTTTTATTTTTTTTATTTATCTTCAATTATTTTAATACTTTTTTTTTTTCTCTTTTTTTTTTTTTTAACTTTGTTTCTTAACATTTTAAATTGTCTTTTTTTAAATACTTTTGCTTATATATTACGGATTATTGTGTATTACGGATATTTATTTGCGTTAATATTGGGGCTCGGTGATAAGGCTATTTTATGCCTTCTTCTTGCTCCAGCCAATTGTACTTTTTATATTGTTGTACTTTGTAAATATTTTTAACGGCGAAATAAACTAATAAACTGAAACTAAAACTAAAACTAAATTCTCTAAAGCGCGTTTGCAAATATGCGCGTCAAACTCATATCGTTGAGAAGCGAAGTTGTATATTTTACGTTACGAGAGTGCGTCAAGGTAAAGTGCGACGTTAAAATAAATTAGTTAAACACGTGCGGTATGATTAACAAAGCAAAATGAGTGATATCAGTGAAAAAAAAAATTTCAAGTTAATAAAAAATAAAATATTAAGAAATGAAACTTATAGAAAAGAGAAAAAAGAAAAAGATAAAGAAAAAAGAAAACTAAGAGAGAAAAGAAAAAGAGAAAGAGATGCACTCGGAGAAAAAGTAAATAAATAAAAATTAAGTTGTTTGCCACGGATTGTTGTTGTTGTTTATATCATTATATAAATTATATTATTATCAAAAAATGTTATTTTTTTTAATAAATGTTATGGTTAAAATAATGATAATTGTTTTCATTATTGTATAAAGTTGAACATATTATATAATAATATATAATACACGCATACACATAACACAACAGATAAATTATATGATCATTTATAAGCGATTAAGACATTTTTTGGCTGGTTTACTTTATCTATACATATTTAGCAATTTTAAATAATCTTACACATTTTTTAAATAGTTATTAACAGTCAATGTTCAAACCAACAGATTTTGATGTGTTTTTTTCTTCTTTTTCATCTTTTTCATCTTTTATAAATTCTCCAGTGATACTTGTTTCTGGGGTGGATTTAATTACTTAATATAATAATTTTTGAGACCAATAAACATAAATGTAATTACTCTTTTTCTAGAGATTCCCCTCAGTATTTTGTCAAATTAATCTACCACTACCATAATGAATGAATCCTATCAGATACTAACTTCCTCAATTGTGACATTGATGTTTAAGGAAGTGGTTCCCAAAACCTGAGATAATGATTTTATAAAACATGATTCTTGTGAAGAATATGGTGGACAACTGTTTTTTGATTTACAAAAGATTAGTTTCTAATGCTCATTAACAAAACAATAGGAATTCACTTTAACACAGTTGTGCATGACAAGACAACAAATTATTTAAAATAGATAAACGTGTGAGCTTATAATTATTTGTTTGTTTATTGTTTTAAACAAATACAACCTTTATAATGTAACTTTATTCACAAATTGTTATTGATGCTTATTGTTTTAATAAAAGGAGTCTGAAAATAACAATAATAAAAAACAAAACCATTATGTATTTGAAAACAAAGTCTATTAGGATAATTAAATCCAGTTGATACTAGTTGATTAAGAACTAACAATGCAACTAGAGCTCTTTGGAGTCTTGTAACAACCCTATATGAGATAGTAAAATCTGGCTTAGTTAAAGGTTTATGAAAGATGGAATGCAAATTTAGAATAAACAAGTGGGACAGAGTTCAGTAGATGGATAATAATATATTTAATAATAAAAACTAGCAGTTATGAAAAGATATAAAATGCCTAAAGTAGAACTTTTTTGTTCTCTAGCTGTTTATGCAACTTATATGGCCATGTATAAAAGAGGCCAATTAGGCTAGTAGGAAATATATTGATAGATTGATATTGTAGTATTATCACTAGGAATTGTGCTATTTAAAGATTACAAGCTTCTCCTTCCTGAAATTTATTAAAGGTTTTGTATTTATCAAAGTGTATTTATTAAAGTGTTTCTTCTCTTAGGTATTTTGTATTTATTAAAGTGTTTCTTCTCTTAGGTAAAATGCAATCATAGCTATGGCTCTCATATATTGCAGATTTTATGTTATTAAGTCTTCAAATTATTTTAGAGAATATTTTTTTGATACTTAAAGAGTAAACTTGAAGGGTTATTAACTTTGTTAATATGTCTTATTAGATTTGGCTTTTCTCATACTGATAATTTCTTTATAATAGATAGTATTTTTTTCCCGCCATTTATCCGCTCCTAAGGCTCTAAGAAACAACTATTAAGTTAGAAGTTACTAGAAAAAAGAATTGAGTTAAAGCAAGCAAGAAAATGGTTTACAGAGAACTTTAAAAGTTGAAGGTTGTATCAGTCAGGAAAACATAAAGATGGGAGGAAGTTACAAAACATTCATATGTGGGAAATAAATTTGGTGAATAATGTATCAAATATAGTAAAAGACTTTGCTAAAAAATAAGTTAAGCAAGAATGAGTTTCAGTTAATAGAACTGGAGACAAAAGTGGTTCCTTTGAGCAGTGACCATATTTGCAACCCTTGGAATTAGTAAAAATGAGGTCAGCAATAATTTGCAAACCTCAATCTTTTAAAGGTCGGTATCAGGTTGGCAAAAAAAATTTGATGCAAAGATCTTACTATAAAACATAGAAACAAGGTTGGCAATTTTTTGTTGACCTCAAACACTTTAAGGTGGGCAGTTCTGAGGGTTGTATTAACAATTATCTCATTCTTCTTCATCATCAGATTCCTATTATTGCACCTCTTACAACTACCTTATTGGTGACTGGGATTCTTTTGTAATTATTTAGTGATGGTAGAAATCCTTTGTCTTTCTGCTGACAAATGTGCTCATTATGTAACTTCTTGAATGCAGGCTGCCATGGAATCATTTATTCCCTTTCCATGATTCCAAGTCAAGCCTCACTCTTCTCCATAGCTTTCCTCTCATTGTGCTGCTGCAATTTCCAATTGTAACCATTACTTTCATATCTATCAGCAAAACAATTCTCTAGAAAAAGACCTCTATTTACTATTACTAGAAACCAATGTAAAAAGGTTTTTTCTAATGCCAAAACTCGCTTTTTCAGGTCACAAAATCTATTATTTCATCTCAAAAATTAGGCTCCAGAGACTACTGGAGAATCTTTAAAAATGTCTATAATAAGTGCATATCTGTTATTTTACCATTCTTGCTTGATTCCAATTTTTTTATCTCACCTAAAGACAAATCTGAATTGTTTACTAAGAACTTTTCATTAAATGATCTCATGATTCTGCTAATTACATCTTACCTGATACAGCCGACAAACAGGTTGATCCATTGTTTGACATTTGTATCACTCTAGCTTCTGTATCTAAAGTGATTTCCTGCATAGACTCTTCTACAGCTTGTAGTCCAGGCAACATACATATTAGTCTTGTAGAAGTGTCCTCCGGAACTGTCAACTATACTTTTAAAACTATTTAACAAGTGCCTATCAAAGTCTTGTTTTCTAGCTTGCTAGAAAGCGACATCTATTATTCCTATTTTCAAAAATTCTGGAGAGCTATCTGACTCATCTAACTACTGTCCCATTAGTCTTCTTACTATCATAAGCAAGGTTTTTGAGCCTTGCAATAAAAAACACTTGGTCTCACATCTTGAATCATAATAACCTACTTTCTTATCATCAATCAAGATTTCTGTCTTCTCCTTCTACTGCTGGTTTGTTATTGGTAATAACCGATAAGTTTTATTGTGCATTAGATAGATGTGGAGAAGTTAAGGTTATTACTATCTACATTTCCTAAGCCTTTAACAAAGTTTGTGTTACTGGTCTTTTCCATAATCTTTCTTCTCAGGGTGTATCAAATAACATCTTTAGGATTATTGAATCCTTTCTTACCAATTCTAGTATAATAGTTGTTTTCAATGCATAGCACTCTTCTTCATATCCCAGGCCTTGTTATGAACTGTTACAATATTTGAATTTTACATGCGTATTCATGATTTTACGTAAGCATTTCTCTATTTACGTTACACAAAGACTTTTTTCAATAAGTTTATTTAAAAAGTCTTTTAGAACAGTTTATGCTTAAAGCATTATGCTGTAATTAATTTTTGTAAAAACATTAGTGGAATATTTTTTTTAATAGATAAAAAAACAGATAGGTAAATGAACCTTTTTCTATTTTCCATTGTTTTTTTTAGATTTATTTATAATTTATTTTATTAAATTTAAATTTAATTTATCATTAAACATAATTTAATATAAATTTATTTATCAAATTTTTTTGCATAATAGCACTTAAACTGATTTTTTTGATACTATATATTCAACTTATGTTACATCACTTACATTACTGAGTGATTATTTTTGTGGATTTTTTATATCTATTATTAAAAGTCTAATAACAAAAGAATTGCAAAAGTATTGAACTCATTCATTAAAAATAATTAACAAAGGAAATTTTTAAAAACTAGTGGCACTTTTCAGGGTTGGAAAAAACCCAGGGTTTTTAAAAAAAAACCCAACCCAAATGGGTTTTTTTGGTTTTTTTTTTGTGGGTTTTTTGGGTTTTTTTAAAAACAAATCAAAAAACCAAATTTTTATAATTGTATGTGTACAATAATTTTTTTTTTTTTTAATTTCATAAATTTACCTCCCTATTGCTCCAGTGACCACTTCAGTCAAGGGAGCAACTCATTTTTAAAAAATGTTTTGTCTTAACATTGCCATTTTTACTAACAAACAACATGAACAACTAATATTTTTTTAAAAAGGCACTGTGCGAAGAAATAGATTGAGCACAGTAATTTCAGCCGAAATAATTTGAATCCCAATCTTCTGATTGTGAACCATATGTTTTACCACCAGTCTACTAGCACATTATATCTATAGTGCAAAAAGGGACTCATTCAACTATAAATGAGGTTAATTAATTGCACTAAATTAAAAACATGTTCAGATTATTTTTGACCAAAAAAAAATCACTATAAAAATTATTATGACAATTTAGTTATTCAAAGTTAGTAATACAATATAAATATTGCAAACTAGGTTTTTATACTTGCATACTCAACATTTTATTTCAAAAACTAAGTTTACAACATGTAATCAACAAGTTTGCAACATGATGTTGCAACCTTGTAGTTTTTTGTCAATCAGGATGGCTAAAAACACTTTTTAAACATTTTTGCATTATAGAAGAAAACTGTTAGCCTAATTACTAAATTTTTTTTAACAGAACATTATACTGTCCAGCTTTCTGGTAAAGTTATCGACCTGATCAACATTATGCAGTAATTATCTTAATTTTCTTACTTTATATGATTATATTAGTATTTTTAAAATGGTAAGATTAGCTTGCATCGATAAGCCAAGTTTTTGGGCTTCAATTATCAATGGACAATCTTTATAAGAATGATCAGAAACAGGAAGTTCAGCTAATTTAACATGGATATTTAGAACTTAAATAATGTAACCAATATTTAAAATATTTCTTTATACAAAATTACATAAATTAATTTAGCAATTATATCCAAATGTTTAAGATTAGAGAGAAATGATTAGCCAATTCGGTATGATATTGACACTTCATAATGTTTTTATTTTTTTAGATTATGGGAAGATTTGTTTTGCAAATGGA